TCACCTTTGCTTCCCCCCAGGTTCCTGCAATGTGGCACCTTCAGGATCTGCTATGTTGGTGAGCGGCGCTCTGCCTGGCCGGGGGTGGAGGGTTGTCCAGGGGGCTTATATGCGGGGGGGGGCTTATATTTTTGCCCACCAGAAAAATGTGGCATGGCTGTATTATGAGGACATGTCGTATTTTGGGGGAAACACGGTACTCCCTGTTCACCAAAGCCATCTTAACTAAAGACCATGGAAGGGAATGAGAGATGCCAGCTGCAACTATGTCATGTAAGATGGAACAAATTGTTATGTTGTGGTTCTAGGAAGCCCTTGAAAAGATTTTTGACGTTCGTAAGTTTATGTCTGTTGTCTTAAATATCTGAAACTTTAGGAAATATTTAGGATTCTTGGGGATTTGCCTATAAGGACTGCAAACAGAATTTTGCCGTTCTTTAGTGTAATCACATAGCCAACTGGTGTTTCAGTCTGAGGCCTGGGCTTGTTATAATCCTATTTGTGATTGAAAATGGAGGGAGAAGAATTGCTACTGGTAACTGCTTCTGATTGTATGTTAGAATGTGGTCTTGATTTAGATTTGAGCTGCCTGCTTCCTTGCTCAGGTATTTGCTGGAAAATCATTGGTACAAGCAGTGGAAAGCTTATGTGGAATCTGGAGATCAGAACTCAAATGCTTTTCCTGGACGGATCAACAATGCTGAACTCTTTGAAGGTATGGTTTCCTCTGCCTTATTTCTTTTATTTGAGGCTTCTTCTCTGCCTTTCAGATAAATTCTCACATTACTTAATCAGGAGGATATGAATTATTTAATTTTTCTCTTTATTCTTCTAGAATGCTCCAGATTGCATACATTTGATCATTGCAATAGATCAATAAAATATGTTGGGTTAATGAAAAGTGACATTGGGTTTTCTCACTGCCCTTCAGCAGAGATTACCTAATATGGTTTGCTCAAAATGAGTGAGTTCATATGGCATGCTAAATCAACATAAGATAGATAAAATAATTATCACAATGTGTGAATCTCAAAAATTATAGACCCAACGTCATATAGTATATTTCCCAGGTAGCTTAGACTGAATCTGGCTTTCTGCATTATTTCAGCAGTAATTGCTACATCCAGTGATGGCTAACCTTTTTCTAAAGGTGTGCCAAAATTGTGTGTGTGCGCGCCCACCCACCTGTGCATGTGTGCGTGAAATCCCCCCCACCTGTGCATGCGTGAACGACCCCCCGCACATGCATACATGAATCCCCCATGCAGAGGGAGGGATTTTCGCCCCCTCTAGCCTCTGGAGGCTTTCCTGAAGCCTGGGGAAAGTGAAAACAGCCCCCCTTGCCCCCCCAGAAAGCCGAAAATCAACATGCATGCCAAAGCGTAGGGCTGCCATGTTGCCAAATATGGCTCTGCGTACCACCTGTGGCATTCGTGCCATAGGTTCAGCATCACGGTGGTATACCATACTGGTTTTATGAGAAGGGGTCTTCTATGGAAGCTAAAAAAATATTTCCATGTTAAGCCGTCGGCAGTTGCTTTTAAGCTATGGGCTTCTTTAAACAGGGTGAGTTCTGCATGATTTCAGCCTGCCCTCCTCCTTTCTCCCTCCAGATTTGGAATCTTACCGGTTGAAGGACAAGCTGGTAGAACATGAAGAGTACATTCTGGTGCCAGAGGAAGTGTGGGACAAGCTGGTGAGCTGGTACGGCATTGAACATGGCCAGCCAGCCATTGAACGAAAGGTGAGAAATTTGGAGTTGAGAACAAAAGGCTTTCTTTGGAATTTGCGTGCCCTGCAGCATTTTTCCATTGTAATTAATAGAAAAGGTGGCCAGAGAATGAAGACTCAACTCCCTATGTGGGTGGAAGACTTTTTTCTAGAGATACAATTTAATACTTAATTTATATGCTACCTTTTTTTTAAAGTAATCTTTCCCCCAGGATTATCTAACTCTTGCTAATGGTAAATTGAAGGGGTTGAGAGAACGGGGAGTGGCTTATGTAATGAAAGTAAAACCTATGGGGGTTTATTAGTTTATGGATCTCATTCCTGCCATGAATGCTGCTTGTACAGCCCATATACTGATGGACATCCTGCTAGGTTCTTGCTAGTATTACAACTTTTTGTTTCTTTTTACATATTTTTTTCTGAAATAACTATGTGTTCTACTAATAAATAAGGGCCATTTGGCTTTAAGGATGGGGTTGGCTTTCCCCTTCTGAGTCTCTCTTCAGAGCAATAAGTATCTACCATTCCTGATTTCCCCAATTTCTTTTAATGATATTCTGTTTAATGATATTTTGATTCTTCATTTTGATTCTTCCCAGGTGGTAGATCTTCCTAGCATGCAGAAGGTGGAGGTTTACTTGGTTGATCTGTACCTCTGTCAGCACAATGATGTAGACAGCCCTGTGGTCTCTCAATTTAGCCGGATGGACACCATTGGTAAGGTCTCGGGAATTCTGAATTCAGCTGAGAGGGAAAAACAGTGGGGTTTTGTCCCAAGAAGTCATTTTTTTTTCTCTTTGTCCTCTTGTCTCTTGCTCCTTAGATACAGTGCTAAAAGAGGCCCGGAATCAGTTTTCAGTTCCAGCAGAAGATGAATCAAGACTCTGGGTGAAAAATGCTGATGGCTCCTATGAGAGGTTACGAAACTTGCAGATGACTGTGCTGGATGCCTGCCTAAGTTCAGGGCAGGTAACGCTGCTGTCACCAGGTTGAGGCTGGCCTGTTTACAAAAAAGAGGCAGAATTGGTATTGGGCCAAGATTTGTCTCTGGCATATTTATATGGATTGGTTTTCCACAGCCTGTTGCTCCAAAACTGTGTTTGATTGTTACCATCAGCATGGAGCAGGCTGGCTGAAGGTGGAGCCATCTGGAAGATAGCAGTTTGAACTGGATTTGAGATTATCAGTTCCAAAGACTGGATTTGAGATAATCGGACAGACAGAGTCTGTCTGGAGAGGGACTACAAGTTTAGACTACAGTGGACTACACTTATCTAACTAGCAAAGCCGATTTAAGATTTAGCAGCAGTTTTTATTGGATAGAAGCCACTCTTTGCATCTCCTACACAACTGGCATATTTGGATCCAGATCCAATAATTACTTTTTTGGGGGAAAACAAAACAACCTCCCCCCCAACACGAGATGAATTTTAGTAAGGAGACCTATTAGTTATATACAATATAATAGCAGAGTTGGAAAGGACCTTGGAGGTCTTCTAGTCCAACCCCCTGCCTAGGCAGG